TACCTTGGTCTGGTGGTCTGGTGTCCTCTGCGTCTTTGTAGTGTGGAACCAGGTGGCTGCCTGTCTGCAGCTGGGTGATTTGGCGTCTTCCACGCGACTCGGGACCTCGGTAGGGCGGTAGGGCAGGGCGGTAGGGCATGCACAGACCTGCCTGTCTGCAGCGGGCTGATTCACCAATAGCTTCGCTTAGTGGCCTCTCAAAAACATATTGTAGGTAAAGTTAAAAGAGGAGAGGTTTATTTTGGTTCAGTTTGTAGAGATTTCAGTCCATAGCTGGTTCCAAGGCAGGGTGGCATGCGGGGAGCTGGCAGAGGAGAAAGAGCTCATGGCACAACAAGCAGGAAGCCTTCTGAATGTTTTTGATCTGTAGTTGTTGAATCTGTCGGAGCAAAAGTCCAACTGTATAGTTTGTAGAGGTTTGAGTCCATAATCAGCTGGCTCCAAAGCTGGGATGGCAAAGGAGCATCACAGAGAGAAACAAGATGGCATGCACAAGGCAGCAAGGGTAACAAGAGGACATTCTTCACCTTTCTTAATTGCAGCTACTGACTGAATATTTTGGGCACAAAAGTGCATCTTATATAAGTCTCAGGAGCCATGGGAATAAGGAGCTGTTTATAACCTCTTAAGTCGTAGGGGTTAGAAAATTGCCAGGTGGCAAAGAGACTATCATTTTTTTTTTGTACCGGGGATCGAACTCGGGATCTTGGGGTTTCGAGGCAGGTGCTGGAACCACTGATCTAAATCCCCAGCCCCTTTTTTTAGTTCTTTGTTTTTGTGGGGGTTTTTGGTACTGGAAATCAAACTTGGGACCTCATGCTTGTGAGGCAGGCAGCGGAACCGCTGAGCTAAATCCCCGGTCCTGACTACCATTTTTTTTTAAGCCAACTTAAAGGTTTGTTTTGTGATAAATGGTGGATTTATCTGAAGAAAAGAATTCATCATCCCCTATCAAATTGATTTCCAGGAAATACTAGCATGTGTAGGAGTGTGTATCCTCATATGTACACACCCAGGACTAAGATTTATCATTGTGAAATTAGCTGCAATATTAGAAGAGACTAGCAAAGTCCGTTATTTAGTGGTTAGTTGTTTATGAGAACAGTGTTAAATGTGGTCACCATGAATAAATCAGGCTTTATGGTCATTTGGCTTTGAAGGCAGAGGTTATTGTCTCTATTTTCTTATACCCTGAGTTTCCTGTTCCAGGGAATACATAGGTGCTCAGTAAATCCATACTGATTGATTTGTAAAGAAAGAAAAATCTACATTACTGTTGCTTGGACTGTGTCATTGTATCCCCAATCCTTGGGTCCTGCAGCTGAAGAAGCCGGTTTCCCTTTGGTTCTATTGTCATACATGTAGGTGGCATATTTGTTTCATACTCTGGCTCTTATGACAAAGTGGTGTTTATCTTTAGGGTGTAAATAGCAAGAAGATACAGTTACTTGTGTTTCACAATTGGAGTAACCCCTTGGAAATATCAGAGCAAGTGAAAGCAGAGCAGAGGCCAGGGCATAAAATTCCAAGAGGTGGTCTAATGTGGCACAGAGGGCAGCAGACCTTTCACCACCTGGGCAGCAGCCTCAGCCCATCCTCTATGGGTGGTCTCCCGAATTTGAGAAGTAGTAAAGATAAAGGCTGACTTAGGCAACTTGAAGGCTGCTGGTAGGGTTACACTGATGAGGATTAAAGGAAAGAAGTAAAGACGCAGTTAAAACCTATTGTGTACCCTGTGAAACAGTTATCCCTTTGTAGGCTTACAGTAAGAATTGTTTTTTGCTTTAAGGGCCCTGAGAGATTACCATCTCAATGTGCCATTATACAGTGTTGTAATAGTCCATCCAGTGTAAGTAGTAGAAATGAAACACTAGCTTATATGAGAAAGGGAGTTTATTGGTTAAGACCACAAAGCTCAAGGATGTATTTGGTTTAGGTGTGGCTGCTTCTGGGACCTCAGGTCAAGTCCTTAAGGCTTCATTGTCCTACAGTGTCTTCCCACATGGTTGTAGCAGCTCAAGAGCTGCTCCAATCAGAGTCCCAGGGCTAACTCTGAATGGCCTGGATAGGGCTGTGTGTCCATCCCTAACCCAGTCACTAAGACTCTGGAACCTCCCTGGGGTGAATATTAGTTAGCAGCATTCAAAGCATTGTACTGAGAGTGGGGTAGAATGAACCTCAAATGAAAACTGAAATACTATTATCAGAGGGCAGTGGATAAAGTGTGGAGTGGGAGAGAAAATGTCCCCTAGTAGTAAAGGAAAGGTGGTCCAACAAAGCATCATTTTTTGCCCATAAAGCTTGGGATTCACATGGAAAAGGCATTAATACCTCAACAGTTCAACAGTGAGTTCAACAGTGAGAAGTATGATTGCTTTTCTCAGTTATCCTTGCCTAATTTAAGACCAACGGTTGGACCTACACACATAAGCAGCAGGTCTTCTGTTGGGAATTGTATTTTCACTCAGTACTGATATTGTGTCTCCCATACTGGTTTGATAGTTTCCTAAGTCTGTGCTGATTATTGGCAGTAGAGGTTCTGAGGTTGTTGCAAGGATGCCTGGGGCCTGACCACTGAAATGTAAATGCAGCAGCATTCCTGTTATATACTCTCAGATAGAAATGGAGACCCTGCTGCCTTGGCCATTTCAGGAGTGGTGCATCTTAAGGCTAGAACCATTTTTTTTTTTTTTTTTTAACCAAGGAGTATGGCTAGACTGGCTGCCTTATCCAAAAGTCCCTAGTAATTCTTCTGGTCTATCTGGGCTGGGCTGGAATATGTTCCTGTGACTCCAGTGGAACCACTGTTGTGTCCCTGGTGCCGAGTAATGGCTATGCAGATGTAACTAGGACCTGTCCCAAGGAGGTGAGGAGAGAAGCAGCTTACAGAAGAAGAATCCACTCCTAGAAGCTCCTAGAGCTTCTTTTCTAGTCTTGGCTCACTCCAGACCCTTCTTGTTTGTTTCCAGGTTTACTGGGATATAATCCATGAACACACATATGGAGAAGCAGAGGACAAACATATATAGGCCCCAGTGCTCGGGCTCTGGAAGCCCTGGCACCACACTGTTTCAGCTATCTCTTCTATGTCTCCATTTCTTTGGCTCCAAAATCTGATTGCTGGTATAGAGCTGTTGTTAGGTCAGATTATTGGGTTCCTGTTTGAGGTGTCCCCTAGTAAGATATATCAGTGGTCACAGGGAGACATGCCTGTTCTTTAGTTTCCATTACTAGAGAGTGTTAATTAAGCTACCAACTGTACTTTGGGCTCTACTAGAAGCCAGTGGGAGAGATCTGGCTTTAGGAGCCTTCTATCCAAGCTGGACTGCCCCAGACAGACAGATGGACAAATAGCAGAAAGTAAAGGTAGGATTGGGAACACAGGTAATGGATTTTATGAGACTGTCACAGATGTCACTTATTTTTTTTCATGCAATAGTAGAGTACCTTTTCCATTACCAATCATTGTGCAGAAGTTCTGGGTATACAGTAATTGGCCAGATGAACCTGTGACCTGCAGGAACCCATAGTCAATTGGGGAGCTACGTAAGTCAACACACAGTTATGGTCCCAGTATAATTAGTGTGGTAATAAAGTCAGCATAAGGTCTTATTCTAGACTGAGGGTGTATGGCAGGGGTGGCTTCCTACAGGGGGTAACATTTAAGTCAGTTCCCCAAAAGAGTAGTAGAGAGTAAGCAGCAGCGAAAAGGACTGGGCAGGAAAGGTGCTCCAGGCAGAGAGAATATCCCGTGCACAGGTGAGTGCATGTGAAGGGTGTTCACTGGGGAAAGTGGCTGTGGAATGGACTGAATTGTTTTTCTCTTGTTGCAGGGATTTGGAGAAAGTGGAGCGGCAGGCAGTACCTCAGGCCAACCACACAGAGTCTTGTCGAGCGTGTGGCCATGTGAGACCTGGACACTCAAGGAATTGTCCTCATCACAGCCATGATGACTCTTTTGGCTTTGAGAAGCGGGAGCAGGAAGAAGAGCAGTACCATTCCCAGAGGGACCCACTGGAGGGCAAGCGGGAAAGGAGCAAGACCAGGTCCCCGTACTCGCCCACCGAGGAGGATACCTTGTTTATAGATTTACCCAGTGGCCCAAGAGGCCAGCAGGCCCAGCCCCAGCGCTCCGAGAAGAATGGCATGTTGCCCTCCTCCTGTGGCCCTGAAGAGCAGAATGGTACTGGAGGGTACCCTTGGCCCTTACCCCTCAGGGCCACCGCAGAGAAGCACAGCCAGAGGAAGAGCAGCCTGGCCCAGGCAGAGCACTGGGCAAAGGCCCTGAAGACAGACAGCAAGAGGTCAGTGTGCACTCAGGATCCTGCTGATAAAGCAGTAAGAGTAGCTATCATTTCCCAGCACTTACTGTGTAAATGGAGGCCTTAAACCCTTCACCTCCATTATCTATGTAAATCTTTGGAACAGCCCTGAAGGAGGGGTGATAGCCCTAATTTATAGACAGAAAAGGGGGTTGGAGAAGTGAAAGAACCTGCCCAGGGCACACAGATTAATGGCAAAGCAGGAGTTCAAACCCAGTTCTATGAGCTGCCAAAGCCCACAGGAGATTACACTGGTGGGATCTCTGCTCCCTGCAGAGGCTGTCTTGAGACAGATCGTGGAGCTAGGGGCTAAACTCCACTTTATGCTGCTGCTTCTTTGCAGCTGAGAACTCTGTAGAAACTAGAGTAAACATACATCCAGGTTTTAATTCCAGGCACATCGAGAAGTGCTCAGGCACTGTTGACATTAGGCTTTATCAAACCCATTCCTTGAAGAAATGGCTTTAATTATTTAGAAGGGGTGCATTTCTTGCTATTTGCAAAGCACTACCTGTATTTTATTATAATTTTAGATTACTTAGGACAGGTTTATGAACATGAAGAATTCAGGGTCATTCAGCTGCCCTTTTGTCCCCTGAAGCAGCTATGGTTTGTCTTCATTGTGAAGATATGGCAACTTGATCACCATCCACAGCCTTCTGAAACAAACCACTGACTGGAGAGGAGATGACAAAGCCCCTGGGTGCTCAGAAAGCCTCTGGGGCTGGTATAGCCATGGTGGATGTACCAGAGCTCAGACTGACTGCAGCAGGCCTAAAACTTCCCTCTCCCTGTCTGAGGTCCAGACTGTGTCTGTGGCTCTGGAGGCGGCAGTGTTCCTCAAGGAATATCCCAGGCCTGCTTTCAGATGTGTGGGGTAGAGTGTTTGTGGATTTCTGTGACCCTTTAATCTGGGCCAGTTGGACAGTCGTGAGAGTGGATAGTGGAGAAGTCACCGCGGAAACCTCCTGAGCTACTGAGAGACATTGCTGTGTAGCAGAGCAGAAGGGAAGGCCTTTTGTGTGTTAGCTAAGCAACCTTCCCCTGCCCACTTAGCAATGACCAGGTGTCAATTCTGTTTGTTAAAAATTGGTGTCTTATTGAAAACAAAGCTACTGCACCAGGACTCAGAGGAGTAAAGTGGCTTTCTTCAGTGCTGGGCTAGATAGTCCCCAGGCAGGTGGTTCCAAATGACTCATTTCTGAGTGAGGTTGGACAGTTAGCAGGGGTAGTATTGTATTGGGTCCTCCAACTCCAAGGTAAGGCATTTATTTGAATTTTACTTGAGAAAGCAGTAGGGGGAACTACTGGAAAGATTTATGCAAGTAAGTGATGTGATCTGATTAATATTTCATAGACAAAGTAAGAGCCTAGGGAGGAGGCTACTCTAATAGCCTAGGATGTAAAATAAACAGATTTGAGGTATTTTGGAGGTTGAAGCAGTAAAGCTTGTAAGAGCATTAGGTGTCAGTATGGAGGCAAGAGAGGAATGAAGGTGATCCTTAGAGTGTTGACCTGAGAAATCAGTGGCTGCTGGAATGGGGAAGTCTAAGGAAGGAACAGGTTTGGGGGAAATCAGAACTTTTATTTTAGATGTGTATAAGTGGGAAATGCCACCGGTGAAGTTGACGTTAGCATTTGAGTTTGGCTTGGCTAAAGGTAGATGTGATGCCTTGCACCAGACAGCATAGGTAAGAGATGGGAGCTTGGTGAGGAATGTGGTACCTGTCTGGCAGATGATCAGTAGGTCACAGAGATTGTGGATACAGGTGGTAGAGATTTGGGAGTGATGGCCCTGGAGTGTGGGTACCAGATTCCCTGGCAGTATTTGTCCAGGGTGGAATACTTTGGGCCGTAGTTCTTAATCTTGGCTGTATAACTTGATCATTGGAGGCCCTGCCTCAGAGATTTTGATTTAATTGGTCTGGGGTGAGTTCAAAGCATTATCTGTCTAAGCTTCTTGGGTAATCCCACCAGTTTGGAAACTGTTACATAGTTACACATTGGAATCACCAAGAGAAGTTTAGAGACTTCAGTCTTATGCCTAGAAATATGCTTCAATTGGTCTGGGTTGCAGGATTTTTAAAAAGTCCATGGTCCCTAACTTTTCCTCCCCCAGTGATTCTAATGTGTGGCTAGAGTTGAGAATCTCTAGCTCCCTGTAAGCAATACCAGGGACCAGACAGAGCCCTGGGAATCCCCAGCCCAAAGCCTAGGCAAAAGCAGTCTCCTTAAAGGAGATGGAGAAGGAAAACTGAAATGTTCTTTGGGGGAGAGTTTGCATCGGAAGGAGCGCAATCAGCGGGGCAAGGTGCTGCTGATGAAGACTTTTCCCTGAATTTGGTACTTTCAAAGGTGGGCACCACTGAAGAAAACTCTAGAGCCTCAGACTCTCTGGTCCTTTGCTCTGACCAGAGATCTTTTCTTCCTCTTAGCTTCTTGTTGGACATGGATGGGCAGACCTATACTGCCACCCTTGATAGGGCTACCATTTCAAAGTGAGGTCAGGAGAGAATCATAGGAAGAGAAGAAACCAGTGAGATGGCATAGCCAGTGACAGAAAGGACTTTCAAAATGGGGCTAACTGATACACAGAAGTTGTTGGTTATGAAGTGTCTCTATACAACCATTTGTGACAACCCACACACCTCTGTGATTCTGCTGTATTATTGGGAGTTGGAAGAGTGCATCAAGGAATTGAAGGATAAGAAGTCCATAAGGAGATGAGAGGTGGCTGAAGAGGGCCTTGGCTTTTCCTTAGGATGTGAGGTAGGAGTTTGAGCCACCCTTAAGTGAGGGACAGAGGGACATCAAGTCTGTAGGGAAAACAGTTCATTGACTTTGGAGATCATTAGCACACAGCCAGAGGAATATCAGTCTAGTGGGGGAGGCAAATCTCAGTGGGCTAAAAAGTGAATGAAAGTGAAGAAATGAAGGCAGAGCATTAAAAAAGTGCTGTCCAGGGCCAGAGATTTAGCTCAGTGTCACCGCTGCCTGCCTCGCAAGTGCAAGGTCTTGAGTTCAATCCCTGCTACCAAAAAAAAAAAAGTGCTGTCCATCACTGAGAAAAGTTCTTGGTCTCTGATCCTTTACTTTTTTTCTTAAAAGGTCTGCATTTTATATTCCCAGATTTTTTTTTCCTTAAAGATACATTTGTAATGTCTGACAGTAAGTGATAAATAGATCTGGCTGTTTAATAGATCTTCGATTATCCATTTGAAAGTATAGAAAGTGGATCTCTGTTATATGTATAATTAAGACTACTAATCTCATTATCATTAGACTGAGCACATAAAGACATTGAAAAGAGTTATTTGTACTGCAGTATGATCCTATATTCTCAGCTTTAGATCACACAGGGAATTGTTTCTAACTGTGCTTTCAGTGCTTGGAGATAAATATATTTCATATCATTAAATTCTTTGAGAATATGGTTCGCAGGAGTCAGACTGACATACCCTTAGATTCTTATCACAGTCTAAGAGCTTGTTTTGAAATTCTAGCCTTCCTTTTTCGCCCCTAGTGTTCAAAGTAACACATACTTGTAAAAATAATAAGGTGGGAGTGGGGCTGGGCCAGTATTACTTGAACACTATTATAGAAACAGTAGAAAGCGAGCCCGAGCATGATAGAAATGGAAGTTAGAGTGAGGAATTTCTGCTGCATAAATAGTTGGTTGCAAAAAATGATTTTACACTTTGACATGACTGTATTTGTAGTGTCTCTACTAGAATATCCTGTTTAGTGCCTTTTGGGACCCCTTTTTGGGTAGGGCTGGAGTTGGGGCCAGCAAATGAATCTGCTGTGGAACAGAACTGCTCTGGGAGCTCCTGCCTGTTCCTGCCAGCTCCTCCTCAGGGTCTTTACCTCATCTTTCTGATAGCTCCCATCCCATCTCTGTCATTGGTTAATTACTGTGGTTTGGCTCCTGGGTCCAGAGCTCATTGTCCTGGTACCTTAGGGTCAGTGACAGACAATGCATAAGTGGAGGGGACAGGCTAGAGGACGAGCTCAGGGTGTCTAGGGGACTGCTTGGTGGGGAACTCTGTCCAGCATCCAGATGTAGGGAGGCACCCAGAGTGGACTGTGGAGCCAGACAGAAGGAGTGGGTGGTGGGAGTGTCTGGGAGGTGCTTTGCATTCTTTGTGTTTTGCTTCATGCAGAATGAACAATGGTTAGTAAAGTCCTGCATTTCTCAGGGGAAGCCCTGGCCTGACTTCTGCCCCTGCTAGCACGTCTGTGTGAGGGTTCAGGTACAGGCAGCCTCCAGCCCAGAGACACATTGCAGTTGAACTTTGGGATTGAAAGTAAGCTCTGCCACCTAGTGACAAGCAGACACACTTGGCATATAAGACAGGTCTGAACTAAAGAGATCTTAAAATTACCTCCTGCAACTGCAAAGTAACCATGGGGTGGGGATGGGGTACTGCCATTTAAATGACACTTATTTCTAATCCTGCTCTAATCCTCACTTAATTCCCATTTTATAGGAAAGAAATTGAGACTTAGGACAGAAATGATATTTGACCTGAGGTTGGACAGCTAAAAGTGATTAAATGGACTAAGTTTAAGACAGCATCTTTACAACTTCAGAGAGCATCAGAATCACTTGAAGGGATTTTAAAACAGGTGGCTGGCTGAGCCCTGCCCCGAATTTCTGATTCCAAGGTCTGTGATGGGGCTGATAATCTACATTTTCAAAATATATTTTATTTTAATTAAAAATCAATAGTTATATGTACTTATAGGTAAATGTGAAATTTTGATACATGTATACATGGTAGAATGGTTAAATCAAGCTAATCAATATTTACCACTTTGCCTACTTATTTTGTGGTAAGAATACTTAAAATCTATTTTTGAGCAATTTTGAAACATATACCCTATTATTGTTAACTGTAATCACCATACTGTACAGGGAGCTCTAAAGTTTTCCTTCTGTTTAACTGAAACTTTGTACCCTTTGACCCATATTTTCCCCTTCCTATCCTCCACCCTCTGGTAACTATAGTTTTATTCTTTGCTTCTGTGAGCTCTACTTTTCGAGGTTTCACATATAAGTAAGGTCATACAGAGCCTGTCTTTCTGTACCTGACTCATTTCACTAACTTGAATTTTTAAGGCAGTGGTGAAACTGCTGGTTCATGGACCACACTTTGAGTAGCCTTGGCATAGAACAACATCTGGCGTATGGTGGGCACTAAATGAAAATTAGTTAGATAAAACTGATACAAGCAGAGTCAGGATTTGGACTCAGGCCCATCTGACTCCACAGCCTGTTCTCTTTATATCTACATCTCAGAAAATAAGAAAGCTTGCTGGAGGTAGTTTTGACAGTCCTATGAAGCTTTTAACATGAGTATTGAAGGGCTGGCTATGTGTGAGGACTTCCTCAGACTGTGAACAATAGCAGAGTGTGAGACACAGTTCTTGTCTTTCAGGAATTTTCAGCTTGGCTGGGGAAGAGATGTCTTGCAAGTATGAAAAGGTCACATCAGTTCAGGACCTTGGGAAAATGACAGTATGATAACTAGCTAAACAGACCAGGAACACTGAGGGCTGTAGAACTTGTGGGAGAGGCATGGGACACTGTCCTGAAAGAAGTAATATTTGGGTAAATAAAGCAAGGGGAGCCCGTACTGGAAAGCAGAGGAAGAACAGTGTTCTGAGAATAGGGAGAGAAGGAGGGAAGGAATGTGCACAGGTGGAGGACCTTTTGTGTATCCACATGAAGGAGGCGTTTTCCTTTTGGTGTCATTTACTCCTCAGAACAGCTGCCAGTTGTGATGGCACATGCCTGTAATCCCAGCACTCAGGAAGCTGAGGCAGGAAGATTGCCTCGAGTTTGAGGCTACATAATGGGCTATATAGTGAATTCAAGGCCAGCCTGAACTATGTAGTAAGACCTTGCAAACAAACAACCATATGAGGCAGGTTATACTACCTCACATAGATGGGGAAAGTAAGACTCAGAGCAGTCAGTAAGCCAGCTAGGATCACAATGCTAGTGAATGGTAGAGCTGGGACTGAAACCCAGGGATTTGCTTTTTCCCTGGATGATGGAGAGGCTGGGCTGGACTAGGGGAGACTCATTCTCAGGCACCAGGCAGTGTGGGTACACCTGTGAGGGGTGCCTCCTTGAGGGGTGGGTCCTAGGCACCTGGTATGCTCCAGCCTAGTCCCAGCCTGGTAGGAGGAACAGGGAGAAACTGCAGGACTGCAAGGTGCCCCTTAGGGTCTTTACCTCATCTTTCTGGTACCTCCCATCCCCATCTCTGTCATTGGTTAATTACTGTTCTAGAGAGCCATGAGTGCCAGGGCAAGGAGTTTAAGTTTTACTTCACAGATGGCAGGGAGGTTTTTAGACCATGAAAGTGACTGGATTAGAGCAGGTGGTGGTGTATGTGGTGGAACTGAGTAGGAGCATCTTGGAGTTGTCTGGGGGAGGTAATTAACCAGTATCCACACTAGAGCAATAGAAAAATGAAGGGCCCAATACTAACCATTTCCTTTAAAAATCTCTAGAACTTGATGCTAGGATCTCAGGCAGAGGGAAAATCTCAGAAACAGAGGATTTTGAGGCCTTTCTTAGACATATACATATTGTCACTGCTGGCAAGAGGGGGAGAAGGAGAACGCAGAAGCAGTACTATCTCATTGCACTGGAATTGAGGACTATGGCACCCACACATTGGCTGGTAGGGAATTGACAGAGAAAGCTGGTTCTGAAGTCTTCTGCGAAGAGAAGTGGGGGGGAGCCCTGAGTATCTGCTTATTTCAGGCTCTGACAGGGTTCCCCCATGTGCTGGACCTGGTAGGCTTGCTTAGCTGTGTTTCTGTTCTTCCCTCTCTCCTCAGCCTTCCTTCAGAGCAGACACTTTCTCGCCAGGGTCCTAGCCAGCTCCTGTCCTTCCCAGAAAACTACCAGACCCTTCCCAAGAGCACCCGGCACCCCTCGGGGGACTCCTCACCCCCTCTGCGGAACCTGCCCAGTGACTACAAGTATGCACAGGACCGTGCTAGCCACCTGAAGATGTCGAGTGAGGAGCGCCGGGCACACCGGGATGGCACCGTATGGCAGCTGTATGAGTGGCAGCAGCGCCAGCAGTTCCGGCATGGCAGTCCCACGGCACCCATGTGTGCTGGCTCCCCGGAGTTTGCAGACCAGGGCAGGAGCAGGAGCATGCTGGAGGTTCCCCGCTCCATCTCTGTGCCTCCATCACCCTTGGACATACCTCCCCCGGGGCCCCCAAGGGTCTTCCTGCACAGGCGGCCACACACACCAGCAGAGCGTGTCACTGTAAAGCCACCAGACCAGAGGAGGAGTTTGGACATCTCGCTGGGGAGCTCTCCCAGGAAGGCACGGGGCCATGCCATCAAGGTAAGGCATGGGGACCTTGGCCTCTGTTGGGCATAGCCTCAAGGTACCAGGAGCCTCACCTGGCTCAAGCACAGATTGAGACATTGGGACCAAATGATAGCAAACTATAAATGCCAGTGTAGTTCTTGGGGTTTACTTTAATTCTGAGCACAACCCTGTGAGGTAGGTGCTATGATTAGGCCCATTTCACTGAGCCCTTGGGAGACAAAGTCACTTGCATGGGGTAGGGTTGTACAACTAGATGTCTGCTCCCTGGCAGCTTGGAAGGCAGGACAGGATGTCAGTGTTCAATCAATTCTGTTATTTATAATAACTCACCTCAGGTTTGACTCTCCAGAGGGCTTCCACAGTGTACTGTGCTATCTCCAGCAAGGAACCCATGAGCACCCATCTCACAGGGCATCTCAGGCTCAGTTAGGGGAACTAGCATGAAGTGCTACTTGGGAGTGAGTAGCAGAGGCCTCCTGCCTGGCCCTCAGTGTGACTCCTTGTCTCCCCACCTTTAGAACTCCTCGCACATGGACCGACGCTCCATGCCCTCCATGGGTTACATGACCCACACTGTCAGTGCTCCCAGTTTGCATGGAAAATCGGTAAGCATCCCCTTGGCTCCCCACCCAGGTGAACATGATGCGGCCTACAGTCCCGTCTCTGGGGTTTCCTCCCTCTGAGGTAGTCACATGGGGGACTGCAGCTGGTCCTGCAAAGATTGGGTAGAGAACTTGTGAAGTGAAGGGGAATGTTGGGCTTGCCTTCTCCTTTGAATAGGATTTTGCCAGAAGTGTTTTGAACCCACCACCTCTCTCCTGTTAGCTCCTCTCCCCTCTTCCCCACTCTTTGGTAAGATAACTCTACGTTCAGAGATTAAGTAGGGTGAGGTGGCACTGTTTGTTGCAGCTTTCCTGAAAAATTGACTTTCTGCAGTGCTTTTATTTGTGCTAATGGGAGAATTAATGCAATCATTGCATAGAGTGGTATCACACCAGTGCTGTCCCGGCACTAGGGCGGAGAGTGTAATTAAAGTGGTGCCCCTGTAGTGGCTAATTTCCTCCAATGTGTCTATACACCTGCAGCTGGAGGAGCTCTCACTGCTTCTCACCTGGTTGCGGCGGCACCAGGCCAAGTTGGCCAGTGTGCGAAATTTTGCCATGGGCCAGTTACTACAGCACCATCTGACCTTTCCCATCTGCCAGGTCAGCGCCCATGGGCTTTCCCGGGGCTGGGGAATGATGTGCTGGCCCGTGTTCCCTTGTGCTGCTTTGGTCTGTCTTTGCTGTTTGGCTTGTCCTCACTCCCTGCCTGTTTGCTTCTGGATGCTGCTGTCAGACACTGTATGGTGGTCATGGAGCTCAGCCCTCTGGTGCTGGGCAGGGGCTGCATGGGATGCAAGGGCCCTGAACTGTAGCTTCTTTGGTTGTATGTAGTGACTACCAGGCTGATGTGTGGTCACATCAAAAAGGCTCTGCTGGCTGTCAGCCTTGTCATCTTGGGCACTACTTGGGTTATTGAAAGACACAGGTGGTCAGCCTGGAGGGGAGAATGCAGAGAGCCCTCATTTCTGACAGTGCCTGCTGCCTGCAGAGCTCTTATATCTCTTCTCCTGTTGAGTCTCACAGTAACAGGGAGAGGTTAGGTAGAACACACAGGCACATGGTTCCACAAGGGAAGGGACTTGCCCAGATTTCTTGCAAGAAGGATGAAGGCTGGAGCCACAGTCCAGCTCCTGTCTGGCACAGTGCTCCAAACAGTTTCCAGGACATTGAACTCTGCAGCTAGGCTCCTTAAGCACTGGCCAGGGAGTTGCTCTTCCAAACCTCTAGAGCAGCTTAACTCCCTAGAGTTGTCCTCAGGCAAGAATAGGATAGGTTTGGCCACATGAGGCTGGGAGGCAGGGGGACAGATGGATGATGAAAGTAATGGGACTGTCATCTTCCTTCCCTGTCCCTTTTTAGAGAGGGATTTAGGAAAGGTATTTAGAAAAATGAATGTAAGTAGGGCACATGTTGTAATCCCAACAGTTCAGGAGGCTGAGGCAAGAGGATCATAAGTTCAAGATGTCTCAAAATAAAAACTAAGAAGGACTAGGCATATAGCTCAGTGCAAAGACCTAGGTTTAATTCCCAGTTCCACTACTACTGCCTCCCCCCAAGAATGTAAGAGGACATGTCCCCTTTAAGTTGGATATATTTGAGTAATTTTAGATAACAGTCTCCAGTTCTATCTTTCCTAATTCTGTGGAAGGTATGTGAGGACTGGGCTGATTGGGGAAGTAGGGATGGATGGACAGTGTAGGGACGAAAATAAGATCTTGCAAGCCACAAAGCATCTCTGATAATGGTCTTTCAGGTTTTCCCATACTTAAAAAGCCCTGCATGAACTTCTCAAATGTATTATATATGATCACCAGAGCTGTACAGCAGGACCACCTTCCCCGGCCCTGGCTTGCCCAGCTTGGAGACCCTGTTAGTCTGCAGAGAACGTGGCCCCTGGATCATTCTCTTTTTTTTTGGTACTGGGATTGAACTCGGGACCTTGTGCTTGCGAGCAGGCACTGGAACCACTGAGCTAAATCCCTGGCCCCTGGATCATTCTTAAGCTCTCCTAGCTCTCTGCTTCTCTGTTAGCTTCTGTGACCTCCTACATAGGAAAGCGTGAATTCTAGGAAATTGGTTCTTTTCTTTTCACTGCCTCCACTAATAACCCTCTAGAACTCAACAGACTGTCAGAGATGCCCAAGCAGATAGGTCCGCCCTGAAGCTAGCTCCTGACCTGGCCACATTAACTCCATGCTGAACAGAAAGAGCGAAACATCCAGCATCTGTTGGTCCAAAGTCACACTGGGACCTCCTGGGTCACCCGAGTCATCTCTCTGCCTCTTCCAGGGACCTCTCTTGTGATAATCAGGGCTATCTCCATGCATGTGAATTGGCTCATTTCCAAGTTTTGATGACAGGAATTGGAGCCATGGTGACTGATGAGACCCTAGTTTAGGTGTGATATGTGCTCATGAAAGTAGACCTCCTCCTCTTGCTGCCTCAAGAGCCCAGCATCATCCTCAGCCATACTGCTGGGTGGGAGCCTCCTCACCAGAATGCCGGTTGAGGGACAAGCTGACTTTCCTCACAGTGACCCATAGGCTCTGCCATGCCAAAAGAGTCAGTGAGCTGCAGCAAGACATTTGTGCTTCCTCCATGGCCTCAAATGTGTTGTTCTGCTGTGGTCTCTTGTCCCCAGAGCTGCTCACTGTAAATGATTCACTTTCGAAACCCTGGATTATGGAAGCCTGTGGTGTTTATAACTGTTTGGTTTTCATTTTTCTCTTGCTGCTTCCTTTGAAGGCTGATGACACCTATCTTCAGCTGAAGAAAGACTTGGAATATCTGGATCTAAAGGTGAGTGGCATCAGGGTCCCTGCCTAACCTTTCTGAGAGTGGAACTGACCTTAAAGCCAAAGACACACAGTGTTATCAAGCCTGGATCCCACATGGAGACAGCTCTCTGAATCAGAAGTCTCACTTCTCACAGCCTCGAACTCTGGCTCTCTGCAGTTTCTTGTGAAATCTGCTGTGAGGTCTGTGGCAGGGGCACAAGGTCTTGATCTCTTCCTTCCTGTGTTTAGAACTGAAGGCCCCTGTCAAAATGAACATTTACTCCTCCACAGCCTCTGATGAAGACAGGAGAGTGTCCATGTGTTTCACAGGGTGCCGCTGTGTGTTTTCCATCACGGGTGCCTTGGTGGCTTCTTCGGCTTCGTTATGGGGAAGCAGGTTCCACATAGAATGACTTGGCTCTGCGGCTCTCAGGTAGCCTCCCTTCTTCATTTACATGGGAGCACTGGGCCCTGTAGGTGGTCAAACTCCAGCTCTGACTCGACCTTCACAGCACAGAGGGCCCAAGAAGGTTCATGTGGAAGGGAGAAGCATTCTGCCTGGAAGAGAGAGGGCTGCTGTTGTCCTTCCCACAGCTCTCTGAAAGTTCCTGCTGTGGGCAGTGCCCCTATGCCTGAGTCTGCACCATGAAATAGGCAGAAGGAATGTGACCTTTAATCACCCAAGGGTGGGTGAGAGGCCTGTAGGACACCCATGCACCTGCCATGAGGGCATGCCCTGCAGTTCCCAGTGTTCCAGACTGGAGATATTTTTTAACCCAGGATCTTTATCCAGCCTTGCAGAGCTGATGTAAACATTAATCCTAAGGCAGCCGATGGGAGGAGGGGGCCCTCCCCACAAGTAAGTATAATCAGGCCTTTGATTAGAAATCAGCCCATTCAGTTATGTATCTGTTGAGCACTTGCTATATGCCCAGCTCTGCAGAAGATGTGGGCAGATGCAAGAGAAAAATAGAGGCTTTCTGGTCTCATGAAACATTCAAATGTCCAGGCTGGAGAAAGAAAAATTTCCCAAATAACACAGATTTATGTGCAAGGACTATACAAAGATCTATTTGGCTCAGTCCTCAGCTGAAGTCGTGAGAATCACTGTGGGCTACTAGGAAGGCTTTTGGGAGCAGGTGGCATGCATGGAGCTTTGAAGCGCTAGGGGTTTGGGGTTGTTGAGATTAAGGAGGAAGGCGACCCAGAGGATGGTGGTATGGATAGGGCCACAGAAGGGAGGGAGAGGCAGCTCCTGCAGACTCCTCATTCTTCCCTGGGCCTTAGGAAGAAAGATACAGAGCACAAAGGGATTAGAGAAGGGGAAACTGAGGCCCAGGGTAGCAGAGAACTAAGAGTCTCTGTGTCCTTTCTCCAACAGAGGGTATCATATGTACCAGTCCTGCATTTCACTTTTGTTAAATTATTTAGCCCTTGCAGTAGCCCAGTAAGGGAGGTGATGGTGTCATCTTTTAACTGACTGACGATCAGAGAAGTAAATGACTTTCCCATGGCCACACAAGCGGTTATGAAGATTGGGATTTGGGTGTAGCTCTAACACTAAAGCTTGTGCTCTTAATCACCTTTCTGTAAGGCCTCACTCACAACAGTGGACTCAGAGACATTGAGCTGCTTGGGAGTTGAGCCCAGGTCTTTAAACCAAGAAATGTGTTTGGTGGAATAGAGGCAGGTTGCATCCTGGAGGCTGGGGTTTGGTTAGGGTTACTCACGAGCCATATGTGACTAGAACATTTTCTAGCAATTAGACTTTTTAGACATTGTCATCATCTGTCATAAAAACAGTTGTGTTGATACCAAAAATTTCCTGGTAGCTTCTACTCCAGTTGCTAAGCTCTTCTCAGAGAACTTGACTCCCAAACGGATGGCACTAGTGGCTGGGAGAGGCTTGTCTCAGCAGTAGCACATATGGGAAAAGATGTTGGGTCTTGTGCCGTGTGCCACTGAACTGATGTGGCTGCCAAAACAGAATGGCACTTCCTTGGCCTCCTGCAGAGGGGTAGGGGCCCTGCTTGGCCCTGCACAGACCTGGCTGGACCATAGGGTTCTCAGATGAATGTCTCCTTTCAAGATCCAGATAAAGGAATTGCTGAATTGGGAGATTGAAATTGGGCATTCAAAACTCAAATCAACCTACTAAATCAGAAAGGGAATATGCTGCTTCCAGCCAGGAGCACCATTCCAGGGGATTAGCCCACACTGTCACTATTCTGCCAGCCTCAGTCTCTGCTGTAGAACCAGAGCTGCCTCCACCTTCACATCTGGTCTCCCCTATGCCCCTGCCCCCAGCATCCTAGCAAGTTCCCTAATGGGAGAGCTTACTGGCTTGAAAGAAGATAGCAGCTGGGATAGCTACAATGCAGAACTAGGGAAGGAGTTAGAGACGACTCAGAAGAGATGTGGAGACAGAAGTTGTAGAGCTCTGGTGTGTTATCATGTTTCTGTGGCCATAAGGAGGAATTAAGATAAGTGGATGGCTGCTATAAATAGACAGGTTTCGTGTATTAGACTTTTCTAAAAAGGCTTCCTCAGGTGGTGGTGAACTCTGTGTCACCTGGGCACAACTGAGGCTACATGGGACTGAGTAGGATAAGTGCATGGATTAGGAAAACTTAAATGTCCATTGGTCTTTAGATTCTATGACATGCTGGACAAAATATTCCTGAGATGAGGGCCTCTGTGGACACAATTAAATGGACACTGTGGACCACCCTGCACATGGAAATAGAGACAAACACATCCCCTCTGGGACTAGCTTCTTGTGAGAGCCTCCCCCAACCCCCAGGAGGAAAACCTCTCCAAAGAGGGAATCTCCCTGCCTGGAATCTGACCTGCTCCCCCTCCCTCACTCTGCCGTGTTGACTTAGGGCCCTCCATCTTCTTGTCCCAAAGGCCGAGAACCCAGACCATCCCTCTTTCCAACAGCTGACACTTGGCCTCCACCACCAGTTAGTGCTGTTTGCTTCCCCACCCTGCGGAGCTGTTTCCTCCTCAAGGACCACCTTCCTGTTGTGGTGCCAGATGGCCAAGGCGCTGTCTTAGAAAGATACTCTACTATTATGCTGATGAGGAGCATTTCCTTCTTGGGCATTTTACTTGGTGATGCTAGGATGAAAAGGAGCCCATAATGATCAAGATCTATTCCTGCCTAGCCCCCTGTTTAGGCACAGTTGGTGTTCATTTATGTCATTTAATCCTTTAGCAACCTTGAGTATAGAAATTATCCTTGTTTTCCTAACCAGGAACCCTTATCTCAAAGAAATTAAGTAATTGCTGCAGAGTTACATAGCAGAGACTGAATTTTCCCCTTCTTTTTTTTTAATATACCATATGCTTTGCCACCCCAGAGTTGTCTTTTTTTTTTTCTGGTACCAGGAATTGAACTCAGGACCTTGCATTTGCCAGGTAGGTGCAGTGCCACTAAGCTACATCCCCAGCCCCAGAATTGTCTTGACTTGTGTTTCTGGCATCTAAATTCTATCCTGCAGAACCCTGTACTGTAGCTGGGTCCAAAGAGTGGCTCTGTAACAGGCTGGTCCTAAACTCTTGGGCTTAAATGGCCCTCGTGCCTCAGCTTTCTGAGTAGCTGAGACTACACGTGCTTGCCACTGCATCTGGCTTTGAATTATTTTTTATGTAACTATGAAACATAACTGGGAAAGTGAGGTGAGGTAAGTGTCTACAGCTATGCAGGTGGTGCCTTTGTAGATAGGGATGGGTCGTAGTCAACCCCAAGGGTTGCTCAATTTTTAAAATGCAAATCTGAGGTAGGCATAGTACAAGTCTAGTCCCAGCCACTCAGGAGGCTGAGGCAGGAAGATCACTTGATCCTGGGAGTTTGAGACCAGCCTGGGCAACATAGTGAGACCCTGTCTCTCTTTTTTTTTGCTACCGGGGATCGAACTTGGGTCCTTGCACTTGTGCAGCCCTGTGGTGAAACCACTGAGCTAATCCCCGGCCCGAGACCCTGTCTCTTAAAAAAAAAAAAGTGCAGATCTGGAGGGGTCTATTGAGTTAGAACCCCTGGTGCAGGTGGGTGGGGAGGAGGATGGGCAGGACTCCATAGGTGTTTATAATGTGTAGCCAGAGTTGAGAAAGATTGGTTCAAAGCAGTGGCTTTTGAAGTATAATTCCGGGCCAGCAACATCAGCAATACCCTGGGATTTGGACCTACCTGAGATCTGCCCAGTGAGAACATCTAGGGTGGGGCCCCACATATGTGTTTGTTAACAAGTCCTCCAGATGACTGATGCACACAGTAAATCTTGAGAACCACTGACTTACAGCAGCAGTTCTCAGTCCTGGCTGCACATTAGAATCACCAAGGAGGCTGCTTAAGAATCCCCAGACCAATTACATCAGGGTCCTTGGGGTGCAACTCAGACATCACTCTTTTTATTTTTTTTATTTTTAAAAAATTTTTTTCCATTAAGTTTATTGGTACATTTTAGGTATACAATACAGTTACATTCACAGTCCTGGCTGCACATTAGAATCACCAAGGAGG